AATACTGAGTGAAATATCTCCTTGGCTGCTGGGAACTGCATTCATCGCTTGGGGACGGACGTGTGTACGTGTCCCTCGCTGGTTGTTTACCAAGCAATTAATTGGATTATCTAGCGCTGTATTGTGCCACCACACAACAACAAAATAATTATAATTATTTTGATTTTTATTTTCATTTTCACTCGCATACACTCGCATGTAGAATCTACACGTACGAGTATATATGTATGTACCATATAAATATCTCTACGTACGAGCACTATATGCACTTGTACGAGTACGTGCGTGCTGCAGCCGGATAAAAAACTGAGGAGAGCAGAAATAATTAATTGAAAATTATTATCTTATGTGGATGATCGCATCGAAGGCCAATCAATCGATGCGCCGCGATGCGATGCGATGCGATGCGATGCGATATGCGATGGCAGTGCTGATGCATCTGCATTGCCATCTTGGCTGCCATTTTGAATTTGTGGCAGGATACGATATGGGGGCCTGCCACTTGTCAGCGGCATGGCATTTATGAGCCAATGCCGCCGCCCCCCTCCCCGCAGTGACATACCTACAGAATGACAATGCATTTTGTTGTTGTTGGACTGGACAGAGAGGGAAATTTTCGGGCTGGGCTGCCTTTCATCGCACGCTGTGCCTGCGCTTTTCATCTGCCTGAATATGTGTTAGTTTCTCTCTTTGTGTGTGCTCTGGTCAAATGTGTGTTTGACATTTTCGTTATGTTCGCAGGGGGTGGCAGAGGGTGGCAGAGGTCTATGGGGAATACGTGCACCATTTAATGCTACCAGCTGCTGGTGCTTTACCCGCCGCTGCTGCTGCTGCTGCCACACTTTTTGTGGCATAAACTGCTTTTGCTTTTGCATTTTGCATGAAATTTCTCAAAATTTTGCGCATTTGTTGAGGTTGTTGTTATAATTTAGTTGGGAAATTGCTGTCACACCCACACAATCATGCACACACGCACGCACACATACACGCACGCAATTAACCCACTAAGGTCCATCGAGCTTCCCATTCAAATCGAATCCTATTAAAATAAAAATGAGAATAACTTATTAGTTATACTTAAAACATTTAAAAACATTCCGGCAGCTGCACTTGCCGGGGCACTTCTCTCTGGGGTTAAGATTTTATGCAATTTCAATTTAATTTCTGTGCCAAAAAAAAAAATAAAAAATATTAAAACGGGGAAAATTAAAAACCGAAATTCATTCGCTCACGCGCTTTCGCTTAGCTTCAGTTTCAGCTTTCAGTCTTCAGTTTAGCTTTAGTTTTAGTTTTTTTGCTGCTGTCACCCACACAATCCAGCACCCAGACACCCTCCTGTCTAGGCCAATTCCATGGCCATTGCCAGGGCCAGCAGTTAGACGGGTGGTTTTTTGGGTGTTTTTTCAGAGTGTTGATAACATTTTAGGCCACTGCCCAGAGAGGGGGGAGGGAGTGAAAAATGTGGGGTGAATGGATTTCGAAAATGGGTTTTTGGCCTGGCTGCAAGTGTAATTTTAGCCAAAACGCGAATAGCGAATTGCGAATTGGATTGCGGCTTATAAGCACGTTTATAAATTACTGATTCGTCTATGAACTAGTCTGCTGCCCAGAGCCGTGACCACAGACACAGACACTGGCACAGACTCGTAGAGCCGTACCCGTAGCTGGAGCTGCGTCTGCTGCCGGTGCTGGAGCCGGGGTTTATGTCAGCAAATGAATAAATTAAATATTCCATCTCCATCATTGAAAATGCCTCCCCGTTCACGCTCATGTGTGCGTTGGTTTAATTAACTTTTTTCGCATTTGGCTTTAGCAGATTGTGAACTCCTAAAAATTGAATTTTCTCTTTTATAATTAATTTGTATTTAAAACCCATTTTCAGTATAAAAGAGAGGCAAACACTGGCAGCAAAAATAGGATGAACGATAGGATGATAAGTCCATGAAGAAACCTCCCACCGATACCCAAACCCCAAGCAGGGGCTTTGTCCGGCTTAGGCCCTGTCATTGTGACCCTAATACTGCAACTGACTTTTGCCATTCGGTTGATTATATTAATTAGACAAAACAAACCCTAAAAAATAGCTGCAACGAATTTAAATTTAATTGAAATTTGTAATTGGAAAAGAATTGGAAAGTTGCACAATTGTAAAGGGCTTTGGGGCAGGGGCAAATCTGCTCGTTCATTCAGTTTGAATGTAATAATTTGGGTGTTAGCTTGAGAACATAAAAGACTTGTGGCACACTCCGAGAAAAATATCCAAATATAATTAGCACATTCGATTCTGAGTGTAGGGATAGCTATTGCTTACGCACGCAACGATAAATCGCAAGATAATTATTTATTTGTATTTTTATCGAATGACAGTAGGGATTTGATCTGAAATACAAACTCTCAGAGAAGCAATATCTGGAGCATAATCTCTGACGAAATGAAAATCGAAACTTTCATTTTCACTTTTCCATTCCAATTTCCGTTTCACTTTTAATCCGTAGAGCCAACAATCATTTAAAGCTAATTAAAAAATGCATAATTGAAACAACAATTTTGAATTTAAATCAAAAATCCCTGCTGGTGAGGAGATGAGAGTGGAGGCAACCAAGTGGCTCTCCCTTTTTGAATGTGGCTTTCGTTGAACTTCTCGTTTATTGCAGATACAGATACATTTACGACTTTTATAGGGTCGCAGCAGGAAGCAGCAGCAGAGGTAGGACCGCAGTCAAAGGCATCCATCCGCAGTCCAATAACCGATTAATAAATATGCGCAAATGTTATTTTAATGCCTTCCCTCGCATCGAGAGAGAGAGAGAGAGAGAGAGAGAGCGAATGCCGCCAATCCACACACGTGAGTTATGACCTGGCTGGAAGCCTGTCGTTTTTGGGGCATGGGCCTTTTATGGCCATTGGAAGTTTGCAAAATTGGCCACAAATCGTGCGAAAATAGCAAACACTCGACCGGCTTTAGGTTTTTGTTTCGTATATTTTGTTGGTGCCGAAATATGAAGGCAGGAAAAATCAATTAATTTAAATTTTTATTGCCACATTAATTCGTTGCTTCACCTCAATTTTTGGTGTGCAAATGTGTTGGCTACAAAATGATTTATGTCCATGGATTTTGTGACTTTGCAAAGATGCTCTTAATGGATTCTCCAGCTGTATCTCTTTCTCTTTCTCTCTTTTTCCCTGTTTATCTGCTTTGTCTGGAGTGGGAGGTTTATAAGCAGATCTATAACCCGGTGAGTTTAGGTGCGAATTAGGTTTTCGGAAAAATATTTCATCGTTTATCATAGATATTATTCACAACAGATTTCTTTTCGTTGTTAATTTCATTAATTTTCATGAAGAAAGTGTTCTTAATTTTATAGAAGAAAGCAAATCGAATCACCCGCACATAGGAATTACATTAATAAAACAATAGATAAAACAATTACTTTTGTGCAAAATATAAAAAAAAAACTCAAAGGTGAATAGTGAAGAGACAATGCAGAGATGAAAAAAAAAACTACATAATATCTCTGCTTATTCTATCATGTAATTTATAATCTGTTCAAACTCGTATCGTACACCCAATTATCCCAACGATGGCCTAACTTTCGTAGACCATTCAATATTCGTTGCGATCCCATGGCAGTGCCTTGTTTATTTTCTTTTCGAGATGTTCCGCCTCATTTGGTTCATTTTTGGCATTAGCACTTGGCATTGTTGTTGGAGCGAGCGTTTTGAATGGCAATTAAGTGCTGGATGAAAAACATTCCGACTCACACCACACAAACACACATAAATACGTGTACGTCGCAGAGGGACAGCACTTGGGCAACTCAATTTGCACTTCATCTGTCTATTCTCTCAGTATCGTGTGTGTGTGTGTGTGTGTAAGTATATCAAAGTGGGTGTCTGCCATGTGTATGCTCTGTGTGTTGCTGGTAATTGCTAATTGATTTTGCCATGTGCATTAGTTGATACATTTATAATTATGCTTTTCAATTGTCGGCCATTTGAAGTGCTTGCAACTCGATGAGGCATGAATCTTAATGCCCCCAAAAAACATTTCAGCATTCCGGCACCGGCATTAAGTGATTATGGGGCCTGGGGGATGGGATTGTTTGTTACTTTAAGGCGGATGCTTGATTTCAATGGTGCCATGCAGAAAAACCACTCTAAACTTTATTAATTTTAATTAAAAACACTCGACTCATTTTGAGGGTTAAATGCTCTTCCACTTCTGTGTCTCTCGCTCTCGCTCTCGCTCGCGGTCTCTGTGTGTGTGTGTGTGTGTGTGTGTGTGCTCGTGTCTCGAACTTCCTTTTGGGTCTTCTTCGGGCCTCTTCGGCGCGCCGGCTGCTGCTGGTTTTTATAAGCCACAGAACACTCGACTGGCCAGCAGGCGGTGAGAGCAGTTAAAAACAAGAAAGCCATCAACAACAAAACTTACTCCTTTTTACAAAAACAACGCAGCAGCGATTCATAGAATGCTCTATCCATTGGGGTTCGACCAGAAAATCATCACAGAAATCTGCAGTAGAGTCCAAACTAAAAATGCTGAGACCTGCATTCAGGACAAAGTATTTGTTTATACAAATAAATAAAATATAAATAAAGAGAATTAATGCCGAATTTTATTCCGCATAAAAGTGTATCCCAGCGTCCACCATAAAACCCTTCAAAAAGTAGGTGAAAAATCTGAGCTAAACTTGTGTACGAAAGGCGTGAGACGTTTTGTGTATTTGCTGCGTCCAGAGGGTGGCCAGGCATTAACAGGGGGTTGGCAGTAGCAGCGGGGGGAAAGCGGGAAATTCGGGTGGAAGCACCACGAGTTTCTTGTTTATTGTTTTGACGGCGTGCGCGGCAGTTGGTCGCTTAAGGCCATAAAAAGCAAAGGTGCCACGACAATAAACAATAAAGGAGAGCCGGTGGTGGTCCCCAAGGTTCCGCGAAAACCCCGACAATTGTTTTATGCAAAAATGTACAGCTTAAAAAAGAAATTGTCTTTATTAATAAACGAAATAAAAAAAAATTGTATTATGGAATTATGAACCCTACGCACACTCTATGAACTATATGGATCGTGTATTCTTATTCCTAGACTATATGGATAATGCTGGGATCTCAGATTAGGTGGCTGTTGTCGTTGGGTCGACAGGTGCTGCACTGGAGGTCCTAGACATGCGCTTGAGCGGCCCCATGCAACTCAGCAGAACGGGCAGAAGGATCAGTCCGTGTGCGGCGCCAATCAGGACAATGCCCAGATACATGCGGAAGTAGAAGACTTGGAAGACCTGGGAGTTGGAGAAGCCCAGAACGACAATGCCGGCGAATTTGGTTAGCGTAATGCCCGACAGGACACTGCTGCCAGTGACATTCAGGGAGTGACGAGCGCGCTCCTGAGCCGTGCCTTCGGCCCGCTTGAACGACCTCACAATATGCGAGACAAACTCAACGCCGATGCCCACGCATACGACGAGATTTACCAGGGATATGGCATTCAGATTGATGCTCCAGGCCCACATCATGCCACCCATATTGATCAGGATGCAAATGACCATGAAGAGCACAATCAACGCGGACGTAATGTCCAGTCCAGTGATGATCAGCGTGACCACAAAAATGGCCACCAGAGACAGGCCCAGCGAGAAGAGGGCATCCTCCCAGATGGTCAGATACTGCTCGTAGAAAATGTAGAACACGCAGTAGGCAAAGATCTCGACATCCACTTGATTCTCGACAAACATATCATTGATCTCGCCCGCTATGCGCCGCACCTCTCGCAGCTGTGAATAGAACTCCTCTGAGGTCGTCGAGGTGGTCGAGTACTGCAGGAAGTACGTATCCTGCACGGAGGACATGCCCTCATCATCTATTGTATAGATGACGGCCTGCAAACAAATAAATGTATTTTGGATTTTCATACTGGTTTTTTACAGGGATCATAAGAAGTAAATGAACATACGTCCGCATAGGAAGCTCGACCGGCCTTGGCGCACTCCGCATCGGGTATATCGAAGAGGAAGTAGGGCAAATATTTGTTAAAAGTCTCGGGAGTGGGTCTCAGGCCATTCTCTGTGAATTCCCGCTCACAGGGCAGACAGTCATCGCTCTTTGAGTCTAGGAAGGAAAATTAAATATTACTCTGTGTAAATGAAGCATATTTGTGTGTGGATTACTTACTACTGAGACAGAAGCCATTCGTGGTTACGTTATACTTGCAGCAATCGATGATGGCCAGCCAGTTGATGTAGTCATCCAGCCAGGAGGTGGCGGGACGGGCCAGGCTTGTGATCTCCGGGTATCTTGATTGTGTGTAGAGCTGAACGGAGAGTGAGTCGTTGTTGCACTCGACGCCACCGCAAATGAGATTCTGCTGCAGTTGTTCCGAATAATTAAGGCCGGGCTTGAGCACCCAATACACGGGGGCACCCATGGAAAGGAGATCGACCATGTAGCGGAAGTACTTGACCACATGCGAGTCCTTGGGCATGGACATCTCCTGATCCAGGCCCTTCTCAATCGAGGGCACCACCATCAACGATAGGCACGTGATCACGGTAAAGATGAGCAACACGGTAACCTTGACGGGTCTAAAATAACAAAATCGGTTAAAGAAAATTGATAAAAATAAGAATTAAAACGTGAAACTTACTTTGACAGCAGGAAGGGGGAATAAAAGTTCTTGAACATCTTCTCCAGCACGCCTACATCTTGGGGCCCTTCCTCCTTGGGCTTCTTTTTGGTCTGCACACAGCACAACATATCCAGTCGACCGTCGAGAACCCGCCGTTCATCGATGGCCATCAGGGCCACAAATGCAGTGATCTGGAGGAGAAAATCGAGCAGGATGGCCGCCGCTGCGTACATGGCAAATGTCTTCACCGCCGGCATGTCGGAGAGCGCTCCAATGGCAAAGCAGGCAAATTCACTGCCAGCCGTCTGAAGGATCGAGGGACCCACCTGGCCGATGGCCTCGCCAATGGCCTCGTGGGTGGTCTCAAAGCGACTGTGATCCAATCGCTGGAACGTGTGCACCATAATAAAGATGTTGTCAACACCAACGGCCAGCACCAGGAAAGGTATCACTTCGATGGCCAGCATCGTGGTGGTCACGTTCATGTAGCCCCAGAAGCCCAGACTGCAGGTGACCGATGCCAGCACAATGACAATCCCGCCGATGGCCAGCATGATGCGAGACTCGAGCAGGAATCCCCGACAGCTGCGTATGCGACCCAAGGCGATGGCCACATAGATGAACATAACCACATAGCTGATGACCACAGTGCCCACCTCGCCCTCGGACAACTCCACAATGGCATCCTGAATGGATCTCTCCGCAGAGTAGGCAATGTCCAGGCGATCGCTCTTGTAGTCCCTGAGATAGTCCACGAATAGCTTCTCCCACTTCTTGTTGGGCTCCAGCTTGGATGCTTCATTCTGGTTCTTTCCCAGGAAGGTGATCACCAGTCCGGTGGCCATCATGTAGTCGGGATCGTCACCCACGGCAACCTTGGGCATGCCGCCAACAGCTACGCCAGGCTCAATGGGACCGCCATAGGTGCCAAAGCAATCCTCCAACATGGGTACTCTATAAACGAATTACAATTAACAAGGCTCAAACGTAATTGAATGATTTGAATGCTACGTTACAAGCCTTTGAATGAGTGGCTCGCTCGCACCATTTAAGCGAAATTTATATGTACATACCGCAGGCAGTCTTCCAGCTTGTTCAGATAGTTGATCGTATAGCCGTTGTTGTCCTCGTAGGTGGTATTGAATACTTCCATATCGTGCTGGAAGTAGCCGTAGATCGACTGTATCACACAGTCATCCACAGTGGCCGTTTGGCCAGCCAGCAGCACCGGGGCATAGCATATTTTGTCCATGCCCTCGCCCTCGTCCAGTCCCAGCTTCATAATAACCTCCTGCAGCTCGAAGACTTCCTTCAGGAAATTGTACTCGTAGGCAGGACCAAAGGTTAGCAGACCGCTGGCAGACTCATGGGTGAACTGGAAAGAGGATTCGGATTAGCATTTGCACGGATGAGTAGGTAACCTTATTTTGGGGCTCCACGTACATTGGACTGATTGATGGCCTTGATGAAGATCTGATTGGTGCGATAGAAAGGGCCAAAGTGCTGATCGAAGTAGTCCTTCTCGATGCGTGTTTGGCTCTGGTCGCTCGCCCACAGCTCCACGGGATCCGTGGTGATGCTCATGTACCTGATGCCATACGATATACCGGCAATGGCCCAGGAGCACAGGGCCAGCACCAGGACCGGATGTTTGGCACAAAAAGTGCCCCACGCACGAAATCCCACATAGAAGAATTCCCCAAAGAGAGTGGGCATGCAGATGCTTGGAGGAGCAGTGCGACCAAGAGAGCCCCAGCATATCACCACGGCGAGAATCAGGCCTAGGGTTAGGGAAACAATGAAGGTGACGCCGTAAAGGCCGGCTATTTGCCAGGGATCCTCCGGTCCTGTAGGTGCATCCGTCAACGGACACGACTCCTCGCAATCGATGCAGGCACAGGAATAGCTATCGTCGTACTTCTCGCCACACTCCAAGGGAAACAGCTCTAGGTACTGCTCCTGGGAACCCTCCTCGGCATCCTCGGACCATTCATATGTAATTTGGAAGGGTACATATTCACCGCTCACATCGCCCATGAACTCGTACCATCTGCGGTAGGTACAGGTCTTGGCATTATAGCCACCACAACCGAGATCCATAGCCGGACGACCTGTCTGGGTGTGCTGTATGCCAGCACAGCTATTGTAGACCTTTTGTACGGTCACATCCGATATTCTGTACCTTATGGACTCAACATACTCCACGTTATTTTCCAGAAACTGATTGTTGGCCGTGAGGAAGAGTGTGTGGTTCTTGGCACAGGTCATGGCGCACACGGTCTGTCCCATATTCTTGGTGCATGTGGGACACCTGGAGTACACTCCATCCGCCTGGGAAAGACCCGCATCCATGGTATAGATCTGATTTGCATCACAGCACAGCTTCAGCTCGTCCTGTCCACTCGCTCCTTTGTACTCCTTGTAGAGAACTGGACAGCGCCGGGCAAAGACGGCCTCGGCATCAGGATTGTTGAGGGCTCGGGCCGGGTTCGTGTCCGCCTTGTTCTGCCAGTGATTGCCAATCTGATGACTCTGGCCATACCAAATGCAGCCCAATTCCTGCCCCTCCTGTGCTTTGCATGGAAATGCCACGGCCAAGAGGCCACACATCAGCCACAAATATTTCACATTCATTATCACAGAAGAGCTTAAAAAAAAAATAAGGAAAACCGAAACACTTTATGTGGGGGAGCGCGTCAAACCTTTTCGTGCCGGCAGCACACTATTAACTAAACCAAACTGAAACACTTTGCTGCAGCCTATCAATAAGCTATCCATGAGTGGAGCAGAGTGCCGATAAGATTTCCCCTTTCGTTTGGGTGATTACCAGTGTGTGGGCTTATCTCCTGCGATAAGCTTCCGAATTCTGATGGGTTCTGTTTCTGCTAAACAGCACTAATGGCTAGGAAATTGCTTTATCATCGGGGGATAAGCTTTCGGCTAGAGCTCTGGACAGGGGCACATAGCGACAATGATCATGAAAACCCTGCGTATCAGATTGGTTTTTATTTTTGCTTTTTTTTTGTATGTATTATTTTATTGCTAAATATGTAATATTTGCTTTATTTAACTTTAATGTTCAATCACCAAAATTTGCGTAAAGATTACTTGAATTGTGGTTGTAAGAGTTGTAACATACACACATAATAAATAGTCTTAATGTACCTCCTGAAAAATATCTACGAGGATCGAGAATGTGCTGTTAATTGCCCAAAAGCGAAGTAAAACAAAATTTGTAAAACCCGAGATAAAACCTATTGATGAAGAAAGGATTTAAAAGCAACCAAGATATGTCCTTAATAACATATACCAACAGAAAGTTAACCATCAGTGATTACATCTAGGGTATGTCATTTCAATCTGAGTTCTCTAGTAATTTCCCCTTTGGTTTCACGGAAAACCTATGCCAGCCAATCAGAAGCACAGCCCAAAGTTTGATCAGTTTTGGCACTGAACTGGTATTTCTCAATGAATCATTCATCCGGCCAGCTAAACCATTGTCGGGACCCTAGGGGAAGGGAGATAGCAAGGAGGTTGACGGGCCCAAGAGCCAGATTAAGAATTAGTCGCCGACATTGCTGTGTGCTACCAACTGAGGGCTGCAATATAATTTTACGGCGCTGGAGGGTCTCGAGAGGTGCCGGCTTATCGCCGATCGCTCGAGTGTTGAACAGGTGTTCAACAGCCGCCCACAGCCAACAGAAATGAACAGAAAATAGCGATGGACAGCTGCCGTCCACCAGCCACAGTATGTGCCTCCCTCCGATAAGCCAAAGATATAGCTCAGGTGTCCGCACAGGTGGCCGAAGAACCCCGTCAAATCTGTGATAGCCTCAGCTGCAAAGAAAATTAGAGCCATCAGTGTTAATTTGCACTTTTTTCTGATGTTTGATGCACAGTTTTATGGTTCCCAATGCCAGCAAAATTATATAAAATCATCAAATATTCGTTAAATTCAATTATAATTACTAAGACAAGATGAGCTCCAGCTTCTGGCATTCAGAATAATAAACTTAACAGAAGAAATAAACTTAATATTTATTTAAATTACAATTATTAATAATTAAGAAAAAGTCGTTATGATATTGTTTAATTGATCAGGCTTTCTCGAAACGAAATGGCATACCATTATATTTATCTTAGTTAAAACGTGAAAAGAACTATAAAAAAAAAGAGAATAGGAGTTAAACTGAAATAAGTAACGTGTTATCTTTGGTAACTTAAATAATTTAATTCATGAATTTATTTGATTGATACTTTGTGTATTATTTATGTACTGAGAGGTGCCGATAAGATTTTCAAAATCTGATATTTCAAGCGGGAATACGAGAATGTAGCTTTAGGCAGCTATCTACAGCAAGTAAGTTCTTTACATTCTTGGGAATCAAATGGAAATTATGTTTGAGAGTCAAAAGAATCATATGAAATTAAAAGTATCCAAAATGCTTTTGATTTGGTTTATATAATATTCTTGTAGGCATTTACAATTATTACCTATAATAAATTTGGAACAAAATAACCGAAAAACAGAACATTTAGATGTTTGTATTAATTTTTGTTGTGTCCGAGTATCATCAATTTGTGTTGTATTGTAGATTGCGTGTGGCGGTATGCGCTATAAATGTATATTTGGCTGTTGCGCCTGTTGTCATGCGGGTGGAGAGGAGGTGGCATACTCCCTAACCGTGAGCTCCAGGTAGACCGGTTCGGTGAAGCCATTGCTTAGGACCTCCATATCGGCTTCGGAGATCCGCATGTATTTTTTGCTGCAGCTCATAAACTCCGCACTATTATGGGACTTGTGCAGGCCACGCACCGACATGATGTTGCTGCGGCTGATGTCGAGGCGGCTATTGAAGACGGTCATCAGCACATGCAAGGGCCGTGGCAGCTCCATGGTGACTGCCCACAAGGCGAATACATCTTCATCTTCGCTCGAGATCCTTTTCTCGTTCTCTTTGTTTGTATCGTTATCGCTCTCGTTTTCTTTGAAGCTAGCCAACTTGCTATTGACGGCACTCACTTTGTTGCGGCAAATCATCACGAGTATGGGCAGATGACCTTCAAAGCAGGCATAGGGCTCAGTCAGATTTGCATTGCGTACTGGCATTAGACGCTTTAACGGCAACGTGGAGTCATCGTCCTCGGTACCTCCATACACCAATATGGACATGCAAGTATTCACAGCCAGTCTAATGGACGTGGGATTGAAGACAATCAGCAGGCTGTCGCTCTCGAAGACCTCCCTGAGCTGCAGGCTGCGCAGCTTTTTGAGATGAGCGCTACAAAAGTGTGCCAGCAGTTCCGCATCGAGCAACGTCGGACATTTGACCAATCCCAGGGGGCAGCTGTGCCTGGCGTGCTTGACCTTAGTCGGGCTTATCGGACGAGCCAGAAGGGGCTCGAAGAGCGACTCGGCGGTGTTTTGCAGGGTTCGTATTTGTCGCAGTCTCAGCTGCAGATCCTCGGCTATCTCCTCCACGGAAAGCTTTGCGAATTTCTCAGCAAAGTATTTGGAACGCTCCATGGCATACTGAACATAGTCACCCTCAAATATAGGGCCGCCCGAGGTGTCTGCATCCAGCATGTCTATCGGGAGGAACTGCAACCGATTCGTTTGACTGTAGAGCCCGCCCCCCAACGGCGGTTGCCTTTTTCGTATCAGCTCAATTGAGCGCCACTGTTTGATGATGTCGGTCTGGGAGCTGAGCTTCATGGGCAAAAAGTAATCCGGCTTTGGAAGCGTTAGCTTATTGGGTGATTCCGCCTGATTATTCTGCAACTGTAAAGTCTTTCTACTTCCATCAGTAATTTTCTCATCGTCTGAGTACTCAACTCGCTCAACTTCTGAACTTTCGTTGATTATTTTCTGGGCAAGGTGAAGGACTTCTTGGCCAGCACTTGGCAGGGAGGCGATGCTTCTACGACATCTCATGCCAAAATCCTCAGCTGAATCATAGATCTCTTCGGACTGCTGATTCTCCCTTAAATTGTATTTGTTTTGCATTTCGCTTTCTCGGTGGGACGCCTGCATCACCTGGTGGATCACGGTTCTATCGCCGAACTTTAACTTTACCAAAACTGGCGGCTGCGATTCTAGACAACTTAACGGAAAATTCGAAGGATCTTCAATGGCTGTATGACATTCAGTGTTGACTGCATCCAAAGCATTTATCCCCTGTGACTCAACCGCTGTGTGATGCTCTGTCTGGCGGGAGCAACGGGACGGCAGTTGATGTTCGTAAGAAGTCTCTACTGGCGATAAATGAGACTGGTATCGGGGGGAATGTTGAGGTAGGGCTAAAAAATCCACTGGCCTCTCTTCAGACGATGCTGTGCGAGAGTCCCCTGAAGCCCTATAAGTTAAACGATGCTCCTTTGGGGATTTGGGTGGAAGCTTTGACTGATACGACATGAAAAGAGCTTCAACCATGAATGGCGATCGATGCTGGGGGCAGTTTTTCTGATGATTTATTGAAACATCCAGGTAAGCCATCCGAGGAGATGGTCGAGATGGTTGGGACACAATATTCTCCTGTATCTTCTGCTGTTCCTGGCTGTTTACCTTTGGTTGTGACCTTCGCCGGACTGGTTCCACCAACACTATTGCCGATTTTTTGGCAGTTTCCTGAGGTGACTCCGCCATGGTGCTATAACGAAATTGAACCATCGAAGTGCAAGAGTCCCTGGGCACCAATGGAGCACCAGAAGTCCGATCCACCTGATGGTGCAATATGACATCATCTGTCATTTCTGAAGTCCTATCACTTGAGTGAGAGCTATATGACGTGGAGGAACAGGAATCGGTCCAGCGTGAACGGGACGTCCTCCTGAACGTCTGTGATACTGAATTTGATTTTCGTTCATGTTGCGGAGAGCAGGAAACATCAGGCGCCCTTGGACGTCCCACATCTAATCTGCCATTCGATCTTCTTTGAGGCACATCCTGATCTTCCGAATGATTTAGTGAGGAGGAAAAGGATTGCGAATGGGAAATGATTGAGTTGATAGCCGAGCTCCCCCCAGAGTCTGATGATTGTGCCCCGATCATAGAAGCTTCTGAGGAGCAAATGGAGTAGGCCTTGGCCCGGGACCACACTTCAAAAAGTGGCTCGGAAAAGTTCCTGGCTGCTGCTTCATTTAATGATTCAGTTGGATATTTAGACAATGGTGTTGCAATATCCGTCTGCGAATTAAGATAGTTTGTGGAAATCTGCGATGATGGATATAGCACCAACTTAGGTGACTCAGCTGCATTATGCAAGTGCCCATGAGACCACAAGCCGTGCTGCTGCTCTTTCTCAGAGGATGCATTGCCCAAGTATGGATGCGGTGGTTCAGCCTTGAGTTTGGGCTGGAACTTATACGGAAGCATCGACCGAAATTCTGGCTCTGGCTGAGTCGTGGTTCCTGGGTCAAACTGATTCTGATCAGATATCGTGTGCTCCTCTATTTTGCTTTTTGGTCCGTGTAGACGCTGATAGCTCTGCGGAAATATTCGTTCACTACTCTCTGAAGAGCTCCGACATTGACTGTGTTGAAAACCGAAGCGCTGTCTCAGCTTGAAGCATTCGTTTCCATCCTGTGAATCAAGAATATCCTCACTGTGACTACTATCACAGTTGTGGGGGGCCTCCAGTCGGACATATATCGATTGTGGTAGCTTGCTTTCGAATTCGGCATAGTCGCCACCAAGAAAGGAATGAACATTGTCTGGCAGCCGCGACAGAAAGCTGCCACTTTGGTCCTCCGAGAGATCGTTCAATGATTGGTCAGCTATGAAACTTAGGCCTTCAGTGATGACGCGCTCAAATGACGTTCTTGGTAAGGGACTGTCTAATGTCTCTTCTTCTTGTGGAAAGCTTCGCTGGAGGCCTGAGACCGGCTTCTCACCTTCATCCTGCAGGTTTCTAAGCCATGGATCGTATCTTTTCAGGGACATCGCCTTCATGGAAGTCATCGGTGGGCCGACCTCTTCATTTGTTTGACCATTACGGGAAATATCAACCAAATCTGTATTCAAGTCGTTGCCATTGGTCCTTTGTTCATTATCTAATTTAACCGCATCCTCATCCAGGGATTTCACAAAATTTCGGAAACCATAGGATATGTCACTCAGAATGCCACTTGTGGCATGGGGGGAATGGGTCTCAGCTAAGAAGCGGGAGAGATATGTATGTATATTTTATTGTACGTAGAATAGTGCATGGAAATACGCATTATTGGATGGTTAACAGCTTAACAAGTGAAAGACTCTATCCATTGCAGATTGAATGGATTGATATGTACTTACAAATGTACATAGAAGGCTGAACAGCGGGCAGAAGGCCTAACATAGCCACATAACAGATAGGGTTACCGTTCCCTAACAGCTCACTGTTAACGCTTGGTGTTGAACGAGTCTCTAGCCAATACCATTTTAATACTCACCACCAGTTTCCTGTGTTTTCTGTTGTTTCCATGCCCAGAGGCGTTCCAAGTCATTGCTTAGTGACTCCTCATCATTGTCTAGTGCTTTTCTGTTTTCTTGCTTCTCTACAAGATTATGTTTTTCCTGCACTATTTCCTCTATCTGTATGTCAGTGTCGCTTTGAACAGAATAATTGTGACCCTGACCAGCGTACTTTGATTCATATTGCGTTTTCACCACATCTACTTCTTCCGGATAATAGAATTTTTTATCCATTTCTTATTAAAGAAAAAGTTTTCCAATTATTTCCGAAACTTATATTTAAAGGCAATCCAAAAAGCAATTTAATGACAAATGTGTTTGACTTTAAAGACGTTTTTAATGTATTATTGTTTGTTTCTTTCTGGAAAATTTTAAAAATATTTCTAGTTCCGTCTCACTTGAGGTTATAACAAATACTGACAAATATCACATACACAATTAGCAAAGCCTTTTGATTGAACTGTAGCTGTGATAAACCAGAAACAAGTAACAAGAAAATAGCAAGACAAGTAATACAAGGGGGATTAGGTTGGGGTTTTAATATTATTGCATTGCAAACATTTAATATATACAATTATTATATTTCGCTACCACCAGGAGCTGTAAGTAAGTTTAATTAAATAGCAAATAGTTGGAACCAAGCAAAATTGAGGCTGGGTGGATCTCTCTGCACAATGATCAACTCGCAGCCGCACCAAGAATCCGAATTACCGAATCCGTATCTAATCTAGCAGCATAGTGCCCCCTGCCGCAGCAGATCGTAGCCATTGAATGATTTTCCATGGGTTGAATGGAGAGAACGAACAGAATTTCGGGTGCGAAAGCTTTCTGTTAACAGACTGTTAAGCTTATGCTCTGGCACCCACTCGCTTTGGCTTTTACTCTCGCTCAGTCGCTTTCTCTCTCTCTCTCTCTTTGTGTCGGCTGCCTGCTCTCTGTTGCAGCTGCAGCTGCTGCAAGCTTTGGTTTTATTTATTTTTTATTTGCCAACCCAAAATGCTATTGAACTCTCACGCATTTGCACACCTACACACACATGCACACATACCAAAGACACATACACACAACCGCATACTTAGGGATACTCTCACGCCCACCAAAAAACACACGTGGAGACTGGATGGTAGTTGCATTTTTTGCGAAATAAAATATGTTTTCTATGATATGCAAAGAAAATTTATGGTATAGGGCTATACAAAAAAAAACGAACATAAATTAGTAGATGAAAAACAGAGGGAAAACGAAAGGAAAGCATAATAATCGGTGGAGTCGGCTTTAAAGCAACATTTACCGGCCGGACACGTGTCCTGAAAATCCCAGACCTACATCAACAAAACACCCGAAAGCCGAGAAACCGAAGAACCGAGAAACCGAGTTAGTTACCGAAAAAAAAACCTCGTTACCGAAGCTTACGCGGCATCGTTAATGCGCATCTGCAAAGCTCTCTTTTGTCCAGTCCCGTTCCCCGGAGTATCCCTAGCCTTACTAAAGCCGCATCAACTGCACCTCTCCCTGTACTCTGTACTCTGTACCGGGATCCCAGCACTCACTTCTTCCTGCACTTTTTCAAAGATATTCTCCAGAACATATGTGTACCCTGTGCTCTCTTACCCTCTTTGATTTCTAAGACTTACTTTCATATTTAGTCTATAACCATCATGAGCACTTATCTATATACACATATATTAAAAATATACACTTATACCCTGCATATACCTTTCCGTATGCCCCTCTTTTGCCATCATGTGCACGTGTTCCTCTGTAGAACTTCTCTATACCCTGGATATTTGAAAACTCTCATTGGAACTTCTGGATGGCTCACTACAGCACCTGTTTATACCCTCTAACCGATACACTCGACCCCACTTCTTCTTCTGCTTCATGGTTGCCTCAATCTGTGCTTGTTCCCGTTCTTTCGACGTTTTTTGTTTTTGTGTTTCCCACCGTCTCCCTGTCTCTCTCCCTCTTTCTCTCTCTCTCTGGCTTATTCTGGTCGTTCTTGTTGTTGGTGCTTTTTTTTAGGTTTTGTGTTCATTCCAGGCGCATTCTGGAAAATTGTGTCAAGCTGACGACACAATTTTCAAATCGCATGCCCGGAGTTGCAGTTTTTCCCTGCTGCAGAGAGCCCAAGAGAGAGTTGCATAGTTCTCTCTGTTTCTCTCCCTCTCTATCGCTCAAAGAGAGAGCCAAGCCGGATTGCGGCTGGCGGCTGGCTTCTTTTGCCGGCTCTTCTGCGGTGTGTTCATTGGTGTGTGTGAAGCATTGCACAAATAGTAACAACGGTAATGGTTAGGCCGCCCGCCGTCTAACGGTACAGTAGCCCAACAGGAAGTGGTGCATTAACACGCGCGCCGATTCTTCCTCTCAGAGCCGTGCCGTTTTAACCCACTAAAAACGTAACTTTTTCGGCGTAATAATAATAATAACAATAACGGACAGAGAGAGAGAGAGAGCGCGAGACATCAAGTGTGTGCATGTGTGTGATAGAAAGAGACAGATAAAGAGAGAGAAAGGTATATTCAATGCGGTATTCGATTGCATCACCTTAAACAGAAATAAAACAACAACTTTTCGAGAGCTGCTGCCTTAACCTTTCAACCGTCGACGTCAAAACTATGACGTCGTCGCTTGCAGCATGCCACACTGCAACCATCTTTCTCTCCATTTGTCTGTGCGAGAGTGTGTGTGTGTGTTTGCATCGAGTCCATACTTTTTTGTTGGTAAATTCACAATTTTGATTGCGGCAAAAAACGGGCACCCAAAAACACCGAAATACAAACAGAGGCCGGCTAAATCCGAGAGAGATGGCAAAATACAGCATTTCAGAGCGTGAGAGAGAGGATGACAAAACGTGGACAGCACGTGCAGCAGTCGAAGCTTTTTTTATATATTTTTTTTTTGTTTTTGCTCGGTGTGAATGCCTTCTGCACACGAGACAAAAACGTGTTTTTTCGGTTCGGTCGCCGTTGACGCAGAAGCTGACGCTGGCAGTGCGGTTACTGTTAAAACTTAACAGAGTCGAGTCTTCTAACATCGCTGTCTTAAATTAACATTTAACAGCGATCTATTGAGGGGGGTGACAGAACAGCACCACTTTCTGTTGCATATGTTGAAGGGAAAATTGAGGGAAATGGGGAGAAGCGTTTATGCTGGCTCCAGATGGTTAGTTATCCATCATTGACCACTGTCGAAGAGTTGTAAAAGAGTCGTACAGGTTGAAAAGGGTCGAGTTGACCTTCTAGAATTCAAGGATTGTCCACTTGCAATCTTGCTTCTGTATGACTTCCCCAAATGCAATAACAACTGTTAGGACCTCTCTCATTAGCCAAAAGAAAAAGCCGGTATTGCCGCTGTCGCTGCTGCTGCTGCATCTGCCACAGTTGCCGCTTCCGCCGGAAGCAGCGGCAGAGTCACACAAAAAGCTTTCCTCTCAACTAATGTTAAACTTAACAGAGCGCAAAGGCCACAGCAGCAGCAGCCGCATCAAAGCCAGCAGCGACGTCAGCAGCGAGCGAATCTCTACCAATTTCGTGTCTCGTGGACAACAGCAATCGCATCTCGTGCTCATTCTTGTGCGGCCCTTCACCGCTAAGCGACGTGTGTCCCGACCATCGACCATAGACCATCGACATCATCGTGCCATTCAAGCGGTCGTCGTCATCGTCGTCGTAGTCGTCGTCATCGTAGTCATTCGTTCGCATTCGCTGCCCCCTGACACCCACCCACACGAATACACAACCACCCACTCTCTCGCTCTCTCATTGTCTGTCTGGGAACCGCATTCGTGGACAGGCTTCGGCTCGGCTGCTGCTGCTGGCACCTTCGGGGGGCTGTTGGCGGTTCGGCTGCTTTTGCTGCTTTTCCGCTAACCAAACGCTCGTCACGGGACGTGCAGCAAAAACAGTTTACATTTGTTTTTCCGCGTGCGAGCACACGTTGACGGGTCTGTCTGCGATACAAGCTCTTTTTCAATTTTCCAAGCACACTATCACCACATACCTTTACCGTACCGCAACTGTTTCGTTCTTTAATCTTTTCCGTTTTAAATTAACCGACAACTGAAAACTGAAAACCCGCTTCGCGACACTTTCCCCTGTTCTACGCTTCCCGTCTCCCCTTCGTGGCTGTGCGTGCTTGAGTGTGTGTTTCGATTCGAGTAAGCTTTATTTTCGGCCTCCGATCCTGATTCAAGAAACCAATTGCAGATCACAAATTTCGTAAAAACTCAATTCCAAAGTATTTAAATGTGAGCAATTTCCGATAGAGTGCAGTCATTCGATGAATAATGTTGAAAGGAAACTCCTCCATTATGTAGAAAAGAGAAACCCCAAAAAATGCATCTAAAATAATTCAGAGCTCCAGAATGCTTTATTGGGAACTTTCGATTTCTTTAAAGTTTGAAGACTCTGTCTGGAATGTAAAAAAGGGATGGATTCCGAAGTCTGTTAAGATTTCATTTCAGAGTTTTCTAAGGTGAAAATATTCAAGCATCCAAGGCAAACATTTTCGAAAAAAGGGAAGCTTCGGAACCCAGACGATTTTCGAAAGAACTCGAAACTCGACAGGTTTTGAAGAAGTGTGTGTGAGTTACCATTTTTTTTTTTGGTGCAACTTCTTCTGTCTGTCTCTGTCGCTGTCCGTATCGCTGCCAGCGTCGCTGTTGCAGTGTCGCTGCCGCAGCCGAGGCCGCATCGTTTTGGCGTTGCGTGCGAAGTTTTGCCGAGACCGAGCGACCACCCGACCGACCGACCTGCAACGACGGAGTGGCGGCAGCGGCCGGCCTCTGCTCCTCTGAAAGCGGAGTAAAACCGGAGTCGAGTCGCATTCCGAGCCGTGTCGAGATCGAAGCGCAGAACGGAAGTGCAGTGCAAAGCGGAAACGGAAGCTGAAACAGTATTCCCACTTAATACTTGGCACGCCAGAGCGCGCGCACACACACACACATACACATAAACACACACGCGGACTCTTACACACACACACATACTCAGAGAGAGTGAGAGATGGATGGATGGGTCTTTCTGTTTTAATTATTTTTGTATTCTTGTCGCGCGACTTTCAACTCGGCGAGAATTTTTTTAAACATTTTTTTAACGTGTCTCTTTTTTATAAAACAACAAACAAAAAACCCACAACAACAACAACGATAGCAGCAACAAAAAAAAAAACAACAACGTGCGGTGTTGTAGGCTTGCCACATAGATCGAAACGAATGTCCAAATTCAAATTCAAATGTAAATCCAAATGATTAAAATGATAATACAAAATGCAGTTGCAACAATAATTACGAGTACT